TGAATTTTTTTTCGAAATTGGTTTCTAGTCTATAACTTTTGATTGAGAAGTCTGATCGAAAACGTACGAATTGATTTGGATTCTACGCACCCAAATTAATAAGAAAGTGTTTTCCCGAGAAATTTTGGTGTAGTCGATTTTTGGTAAAAAAGGAAGGTTATACACTGCCTTTTTTTGAGCCCCGAAAAAAAAATTGTCTCACATCGACCCGGAAAAAAAATTTTCTTATAGAATGTCGCCTGTAGAATCCAAAATTTCAAACAATTCCAAGATTGGGCTACTAGTTCAAAAGTTACAGCCCTTTGAATTTTTTTTCGAAATTGGTTTCTAGTCTATAACTTTTGATTGAGAAGTCTGATCGAAAAAGTACGAATTGATTTGGATTCTACGCACCAAAATTAATAAGAAAAAGTGTTTTCTCCAGAAATTTTGGTGTAGTCGATTTTTGGTAAAAAAGGAAGGTTATACACTGCCTTTTTTTGAGCCCCGAAACAAAAATTGTCTCAGATCGATCGACCCGGAAAAAATTTTCTATAGAATGGGCCTGTAGAATCCATAATTTCAAACAGTTCCAAGATTGGGCTACTAGTTCAAAAGTTACAGCCCTTTGAATTTTCTTTCGAAATTGGTTTCTAGTCTATAACTTTTGATTGAGAAGTCTGATCGAAAAAGTACGAATTGTTTTGGATTCTACGCACCAAAATTAATAAGAAAAAGTGTTTTCCCGAGAAATTTTGGTGTAGTCGATTTTTGGTAAAAAAGGAAGGTTATACACTGCCTTTTTTTGAGGCCCCGAAAAAAAAATTGTCTCAGATCGACCCGGAAAAAAATTTTCTTATAGAATGTGGCCTGTAGAATCCATAATTTCAAACAGTTCCAAGATTGGGCTACTAGTTCAAAAGTTACAGCCCTTTGAATTTTTTTTTCGAAATTGGTTTCTAGTCTATAACTTTTGATTGAGAAGTCTGATCGAAAAAGTACGAATTGTTTTGGATTCTGCGCACCAAAATTAATAAGAAAAAGTGTTTTCCCGAGAAATTTTGGTGCAGTCGATTTTTGATAAAAAAAGGAAGGTTATACACTGCCTTTTTTTGGGCCCCGAAAAAAAATTGTCTCAGATCGACCCGGAAAAAAAATTTCTTATAGAATGTGGCCTGTAGAATCCATAATTTCAAACAGTTCCAAGATTGGGCTACTAGTTCAAAAGTTACAGCCCTTTGAATTTTTTTTCGAAATCTGTTTTTAGTCTATAACTTTTGATTGAGAAGTCTGATCGAAAAAGTACGAATTCATTTGGATTCTACGCACCCAAATTCATAACAAAAAGTGTTTTCCCGAGAAATTTTGGGGTAGTCGTTTCTTTGGTAAAAAAGGTGGTGGTCTTCTGGAAATGACAAATGACTGACAACAATCTTTCTCCTTGGACCATCCTGTACTGTCCATTACTTTAGTGATTTGCGAACGACAGACCGACGGACAATTTTCATAATTCGCTTCCGGCAAATGCGGAAAGTAATTTCAATTTCAAAAGTTTTCGAGTACTTTTACAGCAGCCGACTTTGAACAATGATTGACACTCGCCCTGCATTTTAGTGCACCGATCCGACATTTTCCAAGTGAAATTGCTCTCAAAACGTAGTCAGCCTTGAATAACCTTTTTGTTACACTCTAAAGCCGCATTATATTCTTGTCATTGAAAGTCAATTAAAATGATTTAATTACAAAAGTAAATTAATTACGCCATCGAAATGTTCGCGATAGATAAAACGTATTGACACCCGAAGGTTCGGGAGAATTTAATTTAGCTCGCCGCCCTACTTGTCTTTTATCGCCTTTCGTATTTATTTGTTACTGTTCCCGATGACGTAAGCTGCAATGTCAACAATTTCCTGCGTTATTTTTTGGAGCCCCCGGAACGGAAATTTAGCGATTTTAACCTGAAGAGTGTGAGGCAACACCTTCGCGTCGACATTTACGGATTGATTGTGCCATTTCGAGTGAATACTATAAATCTTTAAATAGAGTTGTGCAATCCCTTCACTTGCCCGCACCTGCCCATTCCTAGGCAATTCCAAAAATAAGTCCAAACTTGGAGGTGAAAGCTACGAGTAAATTGTCGTAATCAAATCTCGTCAAAAGTAAACGTTTGGGAAGCACCGGGACGAACAAATATTTGAACAAAGTTTCGGGGGATAAATCCGTGTTAAAGATTAAACCGGCGCTTTTTTTAGTACCGCTGATATTTGAAAATAAATTGTGACATCTGACAAATGTCGGGATATAGATTTTTTCGCCTGTATTCTAAGGATTATGTCAAGAAAAGGTCCCCCACGCCCGCCGCCCGAACCCCCTATTGTATTTTCGCACCTTTATTTGTAGGTTTTTGTAAATTTTTAACAAAAGAGGATCGTGTTTTGTAAATAAATTTCGGTTTTATATTTCTTTAAAATGTGAAATTTACCTCGAAGAGAAGGTGATCAAATAATGACGCGCTCGAGCGGTTGCGACAAATGTGTCATTTAACGACAAATTAGTGTTTTCCCTCTTTTGTGCTCCCTGAATGGCTACAGTTTCGTCACATTGTCAAAAATATGGGAATCTTTTACAGCGGGAAGCGTGAAAGATTGTTCAGAGCTAGACGGAAATCCTACTCGTCGCATTAGAACCAAAATTTGACCGCTTTCTGGTATACGACGTTCAAAAATGCTTTAGAATTTTACAATGATTTAGTGTTTAAAAGGATTAAAGAGCTGAACATTCATGAGCCCTTTACATACATTAATAAGAGAGATAAACAGTTGTTTTTTTCCATTACACTTGGCATGAACATCTCCAATAAAAGAATAGGGAATTTTTCCATTTTTTTCACAAGAAAAATTCAGGAAAGGCTCTAAAACGATCTTTAAGGGCGACGGGCATTTTTTGGGAGTTCTAAAACCCCCATGACACTTGGGATGTAGAT